TAATATAAAAGTAGCTGGTGGAGGGTATTTAAGATTCGGCTCAGCCGAATATAGCACTCTAACTTGTTATTCTTTGTTTCACTGAAAGTGTTTTAGTTTAATGTTTTGTTTATTTATTTTGCACAATGTAAATTGTATTTTGTTTTATTTGTTGTTTGGTTTTTGGTGACGTTTTTTGTTCGCTGTGCCGATGACAAGTGTCTTCACTTGTTCTCCTTTATGTTGGCGCCTTGAACAGGGCGTTTTTACATGGAAGTGTCAATTTTAGTCGAAGTCGATCAAGCCGTTTACAATGCGGGCGATGACGACAGATCGATCATCAATAACACATATTTAGACATTTTTAAACAATCAACAACGGAAGTAGAAAGAGCATTATACATACGTTTGTTGATATGAATATGAATATGATGAATCTTTGTCCGTCCCTCAATATTAATCTTTTAGATATAATTTGACGAAATTTCTTGCCCATGGTATCATATAGCTACCATAAAAATATTACCCCGATATTGTACTTTGTAAATATGTACATACTAGGGTGATCGACTCGATTTTTTAACCGGTTTTAAAACCGGTTTTTTCTGCTTTACCAGTGTCGGTTTTATCTTAATGTTGATTTTTCGAATATCGAATAACCCGGTTTTTTTACTTTTTAAAACCCGGTTTCGAATACTTTTATTTGCTTTGTATTCAAAGATTATTTAAATTAAATTTTTAAGTAATTAATAATACAGCCCGTCTAAATTTTTAAAATATTCGAGTCGAGGAACTAGCGTATATTTTTCTACAGCTCCTTTGGTTATACTTTTTTGATTTTCCTAATTAATTAAAAAAATTTATTTGTAAAATTGATAACTGTTTGATAAAATTTTATCAATCTTAAGATTATATTCCAATTACCATAATTAATTTACGGCAGAAATTTTATGGAAGTGTTGGAATGCCTATGCAAATTTCCTAAACAGGGCTTTTAAAATAAGCTAGGATTACATAGTACCTTATGTTTAACAGAAGTGTCCCACTTTTTTCCAAATTTTTTTATATTAAAGAAATAGTGTAAATCAGACGACCGGTTAACCGGTTTTTTCTGAATTTGAAAAACATCAACCGGTTTTTTTTTAAATGTCAACTATTCGAACTATTCGAAAACCGGTTTTTGGAAAATGTCGAATAATCGATCACCCTAGTACATACATATATTAAATTTAAATCAGTCATGATACAATTTGTTATACATATTTTAATTAATTCTGTCTTAATGACCCTACTCAAGGATGAATTTAGAAATTCAACTTAACGCTAATAATTGAGCTACAAGTATTAGTAACGATAGTTTATTGTCAATAAATCTCTTATATACATACATATGTGTTATTAAATTAAAATCCGATGTACATAGGTGTTCATTTGATAAAAAATCAGTAGTCATATCAAATTCTACACATGAGACCATGTATAAGGCTATCCATGACATGAGACCATACATAAGATATTTACTCGTTCAGCCGATTCTTAATATGACATGAAACAATAATTTGCGTTAAAGTCCAAATAATTTTGAACAAAAATTTCTTATATTATCTATGGTTGAATTTTTAATCTCAAAACATATCGTTTTATATTAGATAGAAATTAAGTCCTTCGAGCTTCTGTCATTTGGAAATAATCTATTCTATATATATAAATAAAAATCAATTGTCGTTCGTTGGTAATTGCATCAGTTGAGAACGGCTAGACCGATTTGGACAATTTTTTTACTGAAATGTTCGTCATAGTCCAACTTAGGTTTTTAAGGAAAGAAAAATTGACAACGCCCACTTTTGCGCACACTTTTTTCGATTTATCTAAAATCGGAAAACGGCTGCACCGATTTGGCTAAATTTTTTAAAACATGTTCGTAGTAATCAAATTTAAAGTTTTACTGAAAGAATAATTGACCACGCCCACTTTTTTTAAAGCATTACAGTTGCACTTTATTTTGGTGTATAATTTGTGGCATAATGAATTTTTACAAAAATTGGATAGATCAGTATATTTATTGGTACAGGTTCAAAAATGCGGTAATTTAAGGCTCCGATATGGTTGCAAATAACTTTTATAGTTTTCATGTTATAACAGTCGTTTATATATCTTTTTATTGCATTATAGTTGCCATTTGCTTTGGTATATAATTTATTCCATAATATATGGCCAATTGGATAGATCGATTCCGTTCCGATATGGTTGCAAATAACATTGACAGTTTTCATGCTATGACAGTAATTTGTGCATCATTTTAAAGCATTATGATTGCACTTTAATATGGTATATAATTTGTTGCATAATGTGTGTTTTTACAAATTGGTCAATTTGATAGATCGGTAGAATTATTGTTCTATGTTTAATAAACGCAGTAATCTGAGGTTCCGATATGGTTGCAATTAACTTTGGCAGTTTTCGTGCTAGGACAGTCATTTATGCACCATTTTAAAGCATTAAAATTGCTATTTGGTTTGGTACATAATTTATTGCATAATGTATTTTTAGAAAATGGACAATTGGATAGATCGGTAGAATTATTTTCCCAGGTTTAAAAAAGCGGTAATTTGAGGTTCCGATATGGTTGCGAATAACTTTGACAGTTTTCATGCTATGACAATCATTTATGCATCATTTTCATGCATTACGATTGTACTTTAACTTGGTATATCATTTGTGGAAAAATGTGTTCTTCTAAAAAATTGTAAATTTCATGGATCGGTAGAATTGTTGTTCTATGTTTAAAAACGCTGTGATTTGAGGTTCCGATATGGTTGCAAATAACTTTGACAGTTTTCATGCCAGGACAATCGTTTATGCATCATTTCAAAGCATTACAGTTGCACTTTGTTTTGGTGTATAATTTGTGGCATAATTAATTTTTACAAAAATTGGATAGATCGGTATATTTATTGGTACAGGTTTAGAAATGCGGTAATTTAAGGCTCCGATATGGTTGCAAATATCCTTTATAGTTTTCATGTTATAGCAGTCGTTTATATATCTTTTTATTGCATTATAGTTGCCATTTGTTTTGGTATATAATTTATTCTTCTTATTCTTATCTTCTTCTTCTATCTATCTTCTATTCTATATAAATAAAAATCAATTGTCGTTCGTTGGTAATTGCATCAGTTGGGAACGGAAAGAAAAATTGACAACGCCCACTTTTACGCACACTTTATTCGATTTATCTAAAATCGGAAAACGGCTGCACCGATTTGGCTAAATTTTTTATTTAAATGGTCGTAGTAATCTAATTTAAGTTTTTACTGAAAGAAAAATTTACCACGCCCACTTTTTTCGATTTATCTAAAATCGGAAAACGGCTGCACCGATTTGGCTAAATTTTTTAAAACATGTTCGTAGTAATCAAATTTAAAGTTTTACTGAAAGAATAATTGACCACGCCCACTTTAACGCTCATTTTTTTCGATTTATCTAAAATCACAAATCGAACATAAACATTTTTTCTAATTTGGACAGGACAACGTCTGTCGGGCCAGCTAGTTAGTTAATATATATTAATATTTTTAATATTTAATATTCTTTCAAAATTGAAATTTTTGGTAATTTTTTCATATAATATTAACAATGGAATTTTAATTAGATTGATATTCATGTCAATCAAGATAAAAATTCGAAATTCTATTTCGAAATGAGCTGCATTGGTAATTTGCAAAACATACTTCTAAAAATGTAAAAGTGGATTTTAAAACTAGATTTCTTTACTCTATAAATTTATAAGCCGTTTTTTCTGGAACTTTTAGTTGATGCATTTCTGATAATTTATGCAAATATGTGGCAAAACATTCATAGAATTTCAAATTTGAACTTTTAAAGATACTTTGAGAGTATCAAATAAGACTCGGGAGTATCACGGTACTTTTGAACATTAAATAGTATCAAAAAAGTACCATCGTACCAATTTTGGCATCCCTGATTCGTTTATATTTGCAGAAGACAAGCAATGCAAGCGTCATTTTTTGTTACACTCAATTGTTTTGAAAATACAAAAAAAAATAGGCATTCAAACCGTTCTCTGTTGTGTACCATTCCAAGTGGAGACCATTAGGTAGATAGGATAAAATAAAATGTTTAAATTAAAATAATGTTAAACACCCCTAACCACTCTTATAAACATATAGCTATACACTATATAGCTATACGGCTAGGGGAGAAACAGCCTCCTCATATAATATGTATTTAAAAATTTGCAAAGAAGTCAGCACAGTTAAGGACATTAACAGGTACCCCGTAGTACAATAGTAATAGGGATATCAATGCCCCCATAATACGAGAGGAGATCAAACTCTCTTGTTTAACCTACCTGTCGAAACTAATGGATCACCCAAAACCTCTTGACAGGGAGTTGCAGTTATTTGCGGGTCATAGACGACTAAGAAGAATGGAAACACTGAATTTTGCCAGGTAATCAAATTATCGAAAACTTTTGAAATTGCAGTGGCAATAACAACAAATAGATTAGGTTAAGATATGTCAAAAATATCACATAAAACTAAAGAAAATAATTCGAGGGAATTTCCGCACAATTTCCCGGGAATTTGGGATTGAAAATTCTTCGGAATTCCCGTGAATAACACTAATATGAACCGATCTTCATAGTTTTGTAAAGATTTGTGGGTTTTTATTAGGTTTATTTATAACTGATATTTCTGTTTTGTTAACGATATATCAACAGTAATATACATCTCAAATATTTGTATATGATTGAATTGTTTTTAATAAATAAAAACAAATAAGAAATTTGGGATAAAAATTCGTTCCAATATTAAAACAAGAGTGCGAAATTTCCAGTGGTTGTCTCGGATTTTTTTGGCTCATACCTCCGTTATTTATGGAACGATTTTAATAATTTTAAATAGGAATCGATAGTATGTCTAATAGAAACATGGGTTAATTGTGTACAATTATTATAATTAGTCTTTTTAACCACGAATAATTAAAAATTCGTTAAATGATGTTAGAAATAATTTACACATTGCTTTATTATACAAATACATTTATAATATTAGAACTCATTTTTTCTGTCTAGTTTTTCAGAATCCCTTGGACGCCGGCGTCTTTTATGAATTGTATCTCTTCTCATGGAGTGCGGTCTATTTACACCATGTAATTTGAAGTACAAGCCACATGCATTGCAAACGATTTCGCCACGATTGCTTCTCCTCCATATTGTAGTTTTCAAGGTCCCGCAATTTGAACACGACATATCTTTTTGAGATCCAGTTTGAAAAGCACATATTTTGGGCTAGAAAGAAAATAAAAAAGGAAATGATTTATTGTAGCAGAAAACATGTATCGCTTATGCCGACAGAATATTGAAAATGCAATTAAAAATAATATCATATTACAAAGTCGATAAAACAGTCAATACTTTAAATATTTTACTGATCGTATTTCTTGCGTTCAATGTTCTGTCCAATTGTTACACTATCCACTTTATGAATAATGCTGTGTAAGCAATTAATTACTATATAATGTAAGAACTTTTTCAATAAAGACACACTTCGCTTAACACAGGAGAGCTGTAATTTAGCTCTTGCGAAGAACTAAGATTTAACGTAAACATCTTTTAATTGCATAGCTCTATATGGCGATCCTGCCGGCCTTTTTGGAGTGCTATTTATTTTATTTATTTAAGCACCCAAAAAGAATAAAAAGGCCTTGGGAGTGCTGTTTTAAAGCACCTAAAGGCAATTATTTTATTATAAAAAGTCTTTTGGAGTGCCAGAAAATAAAAGGCACCCAAAAGCAAAATTGTGGTTCCTGGCGGACAGCTAAGTCTCCGTCAGAAGTCTGTACGGCCATGGTACAGAATGGGTACACCAGGCCCAAGGGCCATAACACTAGATGAGTATTTTAAAAGAAGAAAAAAAAACCAACAGAAAACCTAACAAAGATACCACCAACAACGAAACCAAAACGAAGGGGTGGTTTTAAGACAAGGTTAAGAAGAGAAAGGGCAGTCCCGATCCGACTAATAAATCAGGATCCACCACCTCGGCCATGTGGAAAAAGATCGATAGAATCGATCTTCTATTAAAAACAAAACATTAAAAAAAAATTATAATAATAATAGATATTGTGCATTCAGTTGTACATTTAGGTCACCATTTGACAAATATAAATATTTTTTACTTTATACATATAAATAATTTTAAGAATAATGAATAATAAAAATAATATATAGAATATTTAAGTTTTCAAGCTCAATTAAATTTTTTTAAGTTCCTTTGTAATGGGAAAACACCAATCCAAAATAGAAAATCCTTCGGCCAATGTGGTCAATGAAGTAGAGGTAGTACAGGGAAATACAAATCTTGAATTAATTGAATGTTGTTTAATAATAACAACTGTTTTAATAGGTTTAAATACATTGTTGCGTCCTTACATAATAAAAGATTAAAGAAGAAATATACAATCCGAGCTAACGATTTGAATAGAGTATAGATGGAGTGGTCGGATATAGTAAAAAGGGTTAGAATAATTAGAGATGAATTTGACCGATCTTACAAATGTTTGAATATTGACAGACCAACTAAGGAAGAAACAATTCACCAACATATGCAAACTTTGCTACGTTGTTTTGAGGATATAAGAGTAATACTTAACGTAAATTATAACAGACTAACTAAAGCACATCAAACTGCAGCAGAAGGATTTTTTCTCGATTTAAATGAAAGAGTTTTTAAAGTTGCCATTAGAAATGATATAAAAATTGACTTACCAGAAAATTTGCATGAAGAGGTATTTATAAAACCTAGTTTTTCACAGCAAGAATCAAAAACAGATAAAACAATGTCGCAAACAGTAGTGGAATTTTTGAATTCAGCCTCAAGGCTAATTACAGATTTTGATGGAAAATCTGAAAACTTACGATCTTTTCTTGATTCATTGGCTTTGGTCGACTCAATAAAGGGAAGCCACGAATCCACAGCAGTGTCTCTTATAAAAACTAAACTAAAATGAACTGCTAGAAATTTAATTGGCAATGAAGCGACCATAGCAGAAATTGTTAGCAAACTGAATAGTACTGTTAAGGGAGAATCGGTGGAAGTATTATCAGCAAAAATAATGAACATAAGACAAAATAATAAAACAGCAAATGCATATTGTACAGAGATAGAAAATCTTACAAAGTCATTAGAAAACGCGTATATATCGAATGGCTTGTCTTGCGAATTAGCAAGCAAATATTCGACGCAGGTTGCCGTAAAGGCACTTACTAAAAACTGCACAATTGATAAAGTAAAACTTATCATGAAAGCAGGTCAATTTAACTGTATGAACGAAGCTGTTAGTAAGTTTGTAAACAGTTGTACCGAGGCAACAGGTCAACAAAACGCCATACTATATTATGGACAAAGACAGAGTAATTATGATAGGAAAAGAAATTACAATAGAAGTAACAATAAGTTTGTAGACAACCACGGCTTTAGAAATCCGAACAGAAATGGATTTAGAAATAATAATAACAATTATAACAACAGAAACAGAAATAGATTGCAGCGAGGTAACAACCGCGGCAATTATGTGAGAGCAGCCAATCTATCTGAAAGCGATTCGAAAAACCAGAACGCTCCCCTAGGATCAGAACAGTAAATAAAAAAGTGTACAATCTTAACCTCAACTTAAGGATTTTCATAAAACTACAGATTAATCAAACTAAAGAATTAATAACATTGCTAGTAGACACAGGTGCAGACATATCCTTGCTAAAACACCAGTATGCCTTTAAAAAATTAAATACTAAACATATAACAACATTAAGTGGAATAGGTGAAGGCAAAATTAGATCCCTTGGTACGATATTTTTTGATCTAAGATACAAGCAGTTTTTGATTCCTCATCACTTTCACATAGTGAAAGATGAATTCCCGATACCATGTGACGGTATTATAGGAATAGATTTCATTAAAAAATATAACTACATTCTTGAATTTAGCCAAGATCATGATTCTTTTATTTTAAGGCCTGAAAACATTTCACAGCAGATAGAAGTACCAATTATATCTGCTCACAGCTATATTACTTTACCAGCCAGAGCAGAGGTCGTTCGTCAAGTGAAATTCACTCATGCTGAACAAGAAATATTGGTTCCAAATCAGGAGCCCCAAGAAGGTGTATTTATAGCTAACACATTGGTTAAAACTGACAAAGCCTTTATTAGGATTTCAAATACCAATAATTGCCCTGTAGTATTAAAGCAATCTAATATAAAAACAGAAAATTTTGCTGATTATGATATAGTCACAAATAATAACATAAACAATGGCCAAAGAAGATCAGAAATAATGAAAATTTTAAAGAAACAATTTCCAAAACAATTTGAAAAAACATTAACTAATCTTTGTTCTGATTATAGTGATATTTTTGGATTAGAAACGGAAACTATAACAATAAACAATTTTTATGAACAAAAGTTGAGAGTAAAAGACACAACTCCGATATATATAAAACATTATCGTATACCACATGTACACAAGGAAGAGATAGATAGACAAGTTAAAAAACTTATATATGATAAAATTATTGAACCATCTCATTCTGAATATAATAGTCCAATACTATTGGTTCCAAAGAAATCTCTTCCTAATTCCGATAAAAAGAGATGGAGACTAGTGGTCGATTATAGGCAAATAAATAAAAAACTCGTAGCGGATAAATACCCGTTACCAAGAATTGATGATATTTAGGATCAACTTGGCAGAGCAAAATATTTTTCCTGTTTGGATTTAATGTCAGGTTTTCATCAAATAGGTCTAGAAAGAGATTCTAGAGATCTTACGTCTTTTTCAACTAGTAATGGATCATACAGATTTACTAGATTACCTTATGGTTTAAAAATAGCCCCAAATTCATTCCAAAGAATGATGACAATTGCTTTCAGCGGTCTAAAGCCTGACCAAGCTTTCTTGTATATGGACGATCTAGTAGTACTAGGTTGTTCCGAAAAGCACATGCTTTCGAATTTAACAAATGTGTTTGAGTTATGTAGGAAATATAATCTCAAGTTGCATCCTGAGAAATGTACGTTCTTCAGGAAAGAGGTAACATATCTGGGACATAAATGTACGGATAAAGGAATACTCCCAGACGATAGCAAATATAGCGCAGTTGAAAACTATCCAACACCAAAAAACGCTGACGAGGCAAGACGATTTGTAGCCTTTTGCAACTATTATAGAAGATTCATCAAAAATTTTTCCGATTATTCAAGACATTTGACACGGTTGTCGAAGAAAAATGTTGAGTTCAAATGGACTGAGGCTTGTGATTTGGCTTTTAAACATCTAAAAAAGCATTAATGAGTCCAACATTGCTTCAGTATCCAGATTTTTCAAAAGAATTTTGTATAACAACTGACGCAAGCAAACAAGCTTGTGGTGCCGTTCTAACACAAGAACACAAAGGAAAGCACCTTCCAGTCGCATATGCTTCAAAAGTATTTACAAGGGGCGAAAGCAATAAATCAACTATAGAACAGGAGTTAACAGCTATACACTGGGCTATTATGCATTTTATACCGTACATATATGGAAAACATTTCTTAATCCGCACTGATCACAGACCATTATCTTATTTATTTTCTATGAAAAATCCAAGTTCAAAATTAACAAGAATGAGACTTGATTTAGAGGAATATGATTTTACAGTTGAATATCTTAGGGTAAAATATAATTATGTTGCTGACGCATTATCGCGTATAACCATAAATGATTTGAAAGAAATTAACAATAAAAATAACAATGTATACAAAATAACAACACGATCAATGGCAAAAGAATCACTTGAAAAATCTCCAGTTACATTAAACAAAAAGCATTTAGAAAATAAACATGAGAAGCCCAATGTATTTAACCCAGTTATGAATTCTGACGTCAGAAAATTTTGCAAGCTAAAAATTGACCCACATACATTTTATATTAAACGTGGTAAATCGAAACTTGCATGTATGAAAATAAATGAATTGTTTATCAGTGGGAAATTTGACTTAGGACAATTTTTCCCAAGGCTCGAAGAAGTGGCCGGTAAACTAAAAATTAATAAATTACAAGTGGCACCTAGTGAGAAAATTTTCGAATTTGTCTCTATTAATGAATTAATGAAGTAGCACTACTTAATAAGGTGATCCACGTAACAAATGCTAAGTTAATAACAGAGATAATGAAACAATATCATGATGATCCAGCGGAGGGCGGACATTCTGGTGTTTCAAGAACTCTTAATAAAATAAAAAGATATTAT